AGTTTTATGAAATGGGATGTTAGTGCTATCGGTCTGTAGTTCTTTGCAATACCTTTACTGCCACCTTTGTGGAGTTGGGCTATGTCTATTGTTTTTAGTGACTGTGGGATGACTCCTGTGTTTATGCTCCCTCTCCATAGAGTGCTGAAGGCACGTGACAGGGGCTTCTTGCCGTTCTTGATGAACACTGAGTGCCACGAGTCTGGGCCTGGGGCAGAGTGCATGGGCATGTCATTAATTGCCTTTTCAAAGTCTTGTGTTGGGATAACATCATAGATTTTTGAAGTGACCGAATTTTGTGTCACAAAAAAATTTAGATTGTCGTCGACCCTGAGTCTGGTTAACGGAGTACTGGGTACTGGAGCGGTCATGTCTACATGTAAAGAGGTTTACTGTTTAGAAGGTTAGCGCCACTACATCAGGGTTACCAGATTTTTAAACCAGAATCATCGTATACTGCTCGTCAAATTAGTCATTTTCATCCATTTTTTCGTACAAAATTATCGTACAAGCCGTTCTAAATTTCCGTTACTAAGAACCATTTGCATTAGAACTATTTTAAAATAAAAGTAAAAGCTAAATCCATATAAGCCACATAATATGTAACGGCTTTCAATTTGATAGGCACATCACCCCAAATTTTATTGAAAATATTTCTCCACACCCTTTCAAGGCAGACAAAATTTCAGACCTGGAGAATATACAGAGAACTTTCATGGCACGTATAAATACGATAAAACACCTAAATTACTGGGAACGGCTGCAGTCCCTTGATTTGTACTCCCTGGAATGCAGGCGAGAAAGATACATGATATACACTTGGAAAATCCTAGAGAGGCTAATACCAAATCTGCACACCAAAATCACTCCTACGAAAGCAAAAGTCTTGGCAGGAGATGCAACATCCCCGCAATGAAAAGCAGGGCACCACGAATACGCTAAGAGACAACTGAGTAAGTGTCAAGGGCCCAAGGCTGCTCAACTGCTTTCCAGCATACATAAGGGGGATTACCAATAGACCCCCTGGCTGTCTTCAAGAAGGCGCTGGACAGGCACCTAAAGTCAGTTTCTGACCAGCCTGACTGGTTCGTACGTCGGTTTACGTGTGGCCAGCAGTAACAGACTCACGAAATCGTAATGACACGATTGCAAACAAACCATACCACGGGTGGGGTTAGAACCCGCGATCAGTGTGTCTTAAAACTCCAGACCGTCGCATTAGCCACTGACCGCGGGTTCTAACCCTGCCCGTGGTATGTTTTTTTTTCAGCAGTAACAGCCTGGTTGATAAAGCTCTGATCCACCGCGAGGCCTGGTCACGGACCGGGCCCCGGGGGCGCTGACCCTCGAAACCCCCTGCAGGTATACCAGACTTCACCAATATTATTCTGTATACATTCTTCATTAGTTATAAGAACTAAAATTGCTTGCACAAATAATTCTGAAATATAAAGTTAAGGGAGAAAAAAATTTTCTAGTTTATCGTATTTAAGATTTAATGATTAAGATCATCAATTACATTTTGTAATTACATTTTGATACAGTAGTTTGCAGTCCACACGAGTGACCATCTCAGCCTTGCTTGCTGATTTATACATTCAGATGTTATAAGACGCCATTAAAATTGACTGTTTTTAGTTTATTTCTGAATTTGTTTTATAAGTAATTTTACTGAAATCCCTTCCTCATTCTATATTTGAGTGAGGTAAACTAGACGCAGCGAAATTTGCCAGATCAACAAAATGTTCCTCTTTGTTCCAGTTTAGCGCAGAATATATCGGGCGATTAAATGTCAGCGATATTGAGCGTATCACTATATGGTGGAAGTATTCTACATTGCTTATAAGTCACTTTGGCTGACTTTTTTGGGTTATCCCAGGTTCTCTACACATATGCTGCTATGTATGATAATCTATGTAACTGTATTTGTGCATACCTGAATAAACTTACTTACAGTGAACTGCTGTTTGGTTACATAATCAAAAGTTCAATCATGAGAGTATACTAAAAGGAAACATCTTCCGAAACTCGGAAAATAAAGAATTTCGGGAAAGTTAGGCTACACAATTTGAATATTAGTCTTTAAGGTCATACATTTTCCTACTTTACATTCATGCATATATTAAGAATTTACTTATTGTACCAGAAATCGTATTTATATGAAAATACTTTCAAGAGCTGACACCCGAAGTTATCGTAGTGTCCGATAATAGCTAAAGGTATATAGTATCAGAATTATAGTATATGTATGATAATTATCTGACGAATGGCAACCCTGCCCTACATGTATTGGTATAGTGGGGAAAAGACTGACTCCATCCCGTCCTGTCACTATTTCTGGGTCCATCAACGGCAGGAGCAGCGAGGGAAGGTGCCGCCTCCACTCACTAAACGAACTCTCAGTTCTCGTCTCAACGTCTGTATTAACCCTAGCCAACCTCTTTACTGAGAATATTTATTACCATTGCTGCTGTGATCGATACTCGATTATCAACTTCCGAATCTATATAAGCATTGGGGTACCAATATCATTTGATTTTGTAAGTCCTAAGGAAGATTGCCATTTGTAAATGAAACACGTGTTCGATAAAGCAAAATTTTCGACCAGTAGTAAAAGGAAAAAATGAGGCAGTTTCACAAATGGAGAATCTTCGTTTTCTGCACATTTGGAATTTGTAGTCATTCTCAATTTCAGTTTAGTTAACAGGAATCATTCACTATATAGAATTTTAGAACCTGGCCTTCAACATAGTTGCTACAAATTTAGGTATGCTAAGCTTTATTAAGTAGTTTTTAATGGCGTTTTAACTTTTTATAATGGTTGTAATGGGCACATAATTCAGGTATCTAATGGTTATAAGTTATGAAAAATTAACCTAGGATAACCCAACATGCCTAGATACTACGCTTGTAATCTTGTTTGACTTTCAAGGTCGCTGTTGATACATTTTGAACTTGGCATTAAACCTTGATACAACGGCATATTTCACTTAAAATTCACGGTTGTCATCAGATATTGTGTGTCCTCACTCAAAGTACACTGAATGCATTGTGAAAGTAACAAATATACGTAATTTTTATCGCTTTCGTTCACTCCACGGTTTATCTTCTTTTTCTTTCCTGGGTTGGGGCGTCAGGGGTTAAATATAGTTTCTCGCCCAAAGGCAAATTTAAGCAAAAAAAAAAAAATAAAAAAAAAAGATCAAAAGGTTTAACCAAATTTCCCCAATTCCTTTTTGTTCCCTTCAAACTTAAAAAAAGAAATTAAAAATGTTATTTTAGTTGCGGGGATAATTGGGGTACCAAAGTATTTTTTCGAAATGTTTATTTAAAGGTGAAACCGCTTTGGTTAAAAATTAATACTTGGCTTGGTTCCCTTTAACATTGCAGTTACCTCAGCTTTTAAAGGAGGCATTCTTGAATAATTTTACGGCTTTCAGCTGTCTAACACTCTTAATTTTTGCTTCAGTGAACTCTGTTTAGAGTAGAATGTTTTTGTTTTTTTTTGCCTGATACAAACAAAAAACCCCGGGATAGCTTTTGCCAAAAACCCCTCCCTCGCCAATTTTCAGGCCCTATCACGCTTTTGTCTCACGTTTAGTGGAGGTTGACCTTGGGGGGTTTATAGAGCTCTCTGCCCTGGAAAATTAAGTTCACAGAGTTTCTTCCTGGTTTACGGGCGGGGACCATATTTGTGTTGCTGGAGGGTTTGTTTAGTTTTGTTGTGTGTTGTTGGGGGATACCCACTACATAAATGGCTTTATAAGAGGTATCTCAAAGATTCTAAATAGACCTTGGTTTTCTGCCTTATTTTTTTTTCCTGGTTTTGGTTAACTTTTTTTTCAATTTTTGTCTAACTCTCTAATGTCTTTATTTTTCAGTCTGTAAATTTCTGGTAAGAACAGTAAGTACATTTTTAAATAAGTTTTTAATTTGTGCATGACCGTGTCAGCAAAGGGTTTTGAAATGGCTTATTTTTTTTTTTTCTTCTCCCTTTACACAACTGTTTTTGTATTTGCCTTTTTCCTTTTTATAAAATGTTGAAAATTTAAAAAATCATATAAAAAACTGTGCATAAGAATATAAATAATTAAAACAAATCATGCAATTTTAAAAGTAAATAAAAAGTTACTTCCCCCTCCCCCAAAAAATGAATATGTCTTTAAATTTAAACTTTCAAAATCTCCGTACAAGTATGAGTCTGGGAAGTGAACATTTAACAGGACTCCGGAGGATCGAAAAGAAAGAGGCCCTCCCTGAAGAGGAGTTTTTCGCCCGGGAGGGGAAAAACACATGAAGAAGGTCTACGAAAAAAAGGAGACGCAAAAATACCGGCAAATTGGAGGCATTTTAGCGTCGAAGACAAGGATAATTTCACGTGGTAAAATTATCGTGATAAGCCGTGTATAGGCCTTGGTATACACTAGTATTACTAATGTTCTTCCCCAGGGAGCTGTCTTGGTATATTTAAACTAAAGATCTTGGAATGCTTCGTTTTTATGGTTATAAGTTGGGTTTTTGTAAGTGTTTGTATTTTGACTTTTTGTATTTTTTAAAATTTTGTATGTTCTTTTTAAAATAGGGGATACTTTTTGTAGTTATATCAGAAATTTCCCTTTATGCAATTACATAGTTATGCAATCTCAGAATCCTTTAATGAATTTTAATTATTTCAGTATTCCGAAATCTTTTGCACACAGACAAATTAAAAGCATTTCACTAAATCCAAGAAATTTTTATTCATGTAACGGGGTTTATTATTAATTTTACATAATTGCATTAAATTATTTTCATTTTATTATTTTAATACCAACTCAACACACACAACACACCATCAGTAAGTGCATGGAAAGAGCTGCATTCTTGCATGCCCCGAGAAGACTGGGGATTAGGGTACAGTATTAGTGCATGTTATATTTTGTACTGCTTTTTTCCATTCAAAGCTTAATGCAAATAAACATGCATAGCAGTGGGCGAGTGTGCAATAGGTATTATTTTTTTTGTATATTATATTCCGTTTCTAATGTGATTAGAGCACTTTTTGCGGTTTTGTCATACCCCCTAAATTTTTTTAAAAATTTTCCCACCCAAAACTGGATCTTGTATTCACCTTAAATGCCTGTGATGGAGGTAGATAACTCGTGGCTTCTGGGGTTAGAAACCCCAAATCCCGTTTTTAAAAAGTCATCTTTAAAGTTATTTTAATGCGGGGAGGGGGAAGAAAAGGGGGAAACCGTATTTTGGAGTAGGAACTTTAAAAAGGGTGAGGGGAATTCCTAAAGGGAAAGTACAGGGGGAAAGGGAAAAAAAGGAAAAAAATGAATGGTTTGAGTACCTACTAAAAAAGCATGGAGACCCTGAGAATTTCATACCTAAAAAAAGAAGGGGCAATAGTAACTGGATTTTTTCCCTGGATTTCCCGGGGGGTCAACCCCCCCTCCCGCACGTCTGGGGGAACCAGGCCTCGTGGGGGGATCGGGGGGCCTGATAAACCCAGGCTGTTACTGCTGGCTGAAATGCGTCCATGTACAAGCCACGCTTGGCTGGTCAGGTACTAAACTTTAGGTGCTTGTCCAGTGCGCTGAAGCAGTCAGGGGTCAAATTGGAAACCCCCCCCTTATGTATGCGGGGAGGGGGTTTTTGAACGGGTTTTGGGGCCCCCTGGCACTTATTGTGTGTCTTTTAAAGTCCCTAGTGACCCCAGGGCTTTTTTTGGGGGGGGATGTTGCATCGTTCCCGAGTCTTTTGCTTTCATGGGGGAGTCTTTTTCGTGTGAATTTCGGTACGAAAAGCAATTATTATACAGAAAAAGGGTCCTTCCCAAAAAATTTCCCAACCAGTAACTTTGTGAAAATTTAGAATTTTTTGTGGGGGAGACGAAAAAAAAAAAATAGAAAAGTTTAGATACAGCAAATTGAAAAAAACAAGGGTTAAAGGCTGACCTTTTGTTTTTGTAGGAGCTCCCAAAAAAATCCCCGGGTTCCCTTAAAAACAGGGCAGTTAAAATTTTTGGGGTATAAATTTCAAATCAATATTACTGGGTAGATAATTTAAAAGGAGATCCTTCATGTGTTAGCCCAAATCACCGACCAGTATTTTTTTAATTTAAGTGCCCCATGATCAGATCAGATCGACTGGTCCGAACCCCTTGGGCTGGTTTCAAAAAGGTTTCGTTGGGGCAATAAAGCGCTGTAAAGGATGGGGGGTTTTAGGCGCCCTTTTCAAAAACAAACAATAAAAATAAATCCCGGAACGTACACGGTAAAACTGTCCAATATACAAGTTAAAATTAGTAAATTGAAATTTCAAATAGCTAGGCTTCATTTAAGGAGGTTAAATTTAAAAAAATATTCAAGAGGTTGCTAGTAGGAATTTTCAGTAAATCAAAACCCTTCAAATCATTATAAGCCCTGGGTAGTCGCAGTCAATCAAACAAACTGGGGCCACATGGATAAATTGTCAAATTTTTTTGGAAAAAAGGTGTCAGCCCCTTGTGCCCGATATCCAAAAAACTAGTACAAGCAGTATTTAAAAAAAGGGAAAGGGTTTTTGGGTTTGCCCCAAAAGAGATAAATCTGTGGACTAAAATACAAAGGGTTTTTAAAAGAGGATAAAACAAAACTGCTTTTTGTCAACCTGGAAGTTTCTACAACAGATTGGGGAAAATAAAAAAGTCTGGGCTGAATGGTACTGCCCCTTTATAATTTGGGCCCTGAGTCAGAAAATGTAAGGGGTGGGGGTGATGTCCTGGTTAGTCAGGAAATGTGGGGCTGAAGGGGCGCCTTGGAGACAGTAATGGGGGAAAATGGGGGGGTGCTGTCCTGGGAGAAAAGTTTAAAGGGGAAGCGGGAGGTGCTGTCCCGGGAGGCCCGTAATGGTGAAGCTGGAGATTTTTTTCCAAAGGGAGTCGGGGGAATTTTTACACAGGAAGGAATAAAATATAAATGACCTCATAGGGGGGGAAACCGTAGTGGGGAAACAAATGTAGTCAAAGGGTAAAATAAACCAATATTGGGAAAAAGAAATACTACAGGAAATAGCAAACCCAAAAGGGGGCTCCCCTAGCAATAGTGAGGTATATTACCAAAAAAAAACTGGTGGGAGCTCATTTTTTTGGGCTAGGGAGGATAGGAAAAAAGACAGGGAAACATGCCCCAAAAGGGGAAAATAAAGTACAAAAACCCCAAAGGGCAAAGGGAAAACCCAAAGCCGTGCCATTTTGCACTTGGTTCTGCAGACATGGGAAATCGGGGAAAAAAAAAATGGGACGTGCAACTATGCCCAAACCCTAGAAAATCCCCTGCCCATATAAAAAAACGGGGGAAAAGGGCAAACTCACTTCCTGTAAGTTTTTTCCCCCTGAAATGTGTACCTCTTCAGTAAAAGGAAAAAGACTGTGTTTATAACTTAAATTGCCAGGAAAACCCCATCAAAAGGGGGAAAAAAAGATACAAAAACATCCGGCCATGGGAAAACCGGGGGGAGCCACAGCCACTCAAGAGGGGGAGGTTTTTTTGTGCCCCGGAAAGGAAAAAAAAAATGGCAGGAAAATTTGGGAGAAAAAACGTTTCACCCCCAAACCAGTCATTTCCCGGAGTGGAAAACCCCAGTCGATGGCCCTTTAATCCAAAAAACCCCAGATACAGATATAATGCCGGGAAAAAAAAACCCCCCAGTACCAACGTACCAAACCCGTCCCTTTACATTCTTCTTTGCAAATTTACAGGGGCTAAAGCCGCAACAAACAACAAAATAACCCTTTTATCCCTGGATGCTTGCAGAGGCAAAAGGGAAAGTTTGCGGCCTTTTTACTGAGACCCAATTAAAAAGGGTCACTTGGACAACGAAAAAATGGATCCCAGGTTACAACCTTTAAAGATGGGCAGAGGGGAAAAGGCAAAAAAGGGGGGGGGGGGGGTTTGGCCCGTACATTTCAGAGTCCTTGTTTGCAAGGGCTGCAAAAGCCCCAAATGATGGAGTGGGTTTTTGCAGTAAAGGCGGAAAAACCAAAACCTAAATCATTGTGGTAGTTTTCAAAAAACCCCCCGGATGCAACATCCCCGGGAATTTCCCGGGAAAAGGGTTTTTTTAAAAAATTTCCACGGGCTGGAAATTTTTCCAGCTCCTGCACCCAAAAAATTTGTCCTGGGGGATTTCAACTTTAAAGGGGCCCTAAAATGGAGGAAAATAGCAAAATTTTATTGTTGCAGTAATAAACCGGAGGGAGCTTGATGAAAAACTCACCCCTTTCACGGGTTTTTTTAAAAATCTGCCAAAATTCAATTTAAACCCGGGAAATAATAGAGTACCCAGGGCTGGAGTTTTCACTAGACCCCATCTTCCTAACAATGATGATCTGATAAGAAATGCCACCATATCAAAAACCAAATTTACTCAATCACAACTAATTGAGGTTCAGACATCATGGTGGGAGCCCCCCGACTTACATAATGGGGACTAGTCACGAGGGAGCTTTTAAACCCAAAATTTAAAATTCAATAAAAAAAACAAAAAGTGGGACCAAGGAAAACCCAAAAATTTAAAAAGATATAAGTGGGAAAAATACTAAGGGAACCAGACCCCAAATTTGCCCAGAACAGATTAACTTGGTGGCACCTTTGGGTGTATGCCCCAAGGCTTATTCCTCTAAAGAAAAATGAGGAGGGGATGTTAAAAAAGAAAAAAGGGCAGGGGCGCTCCCTTTATAGGCGAAGGGAAAAAAATAACGAGTGGCTAAAAGGGTCAATATATTGAAAGCGTAGGAAGACATTGGGCAGAGAAAAAGCAAGCAACGAAAAAAAACAAAGGAATCTTATAGGAGTCAGGAAAACGCGGGAAGAAAATAAAAGCCATAAAAAGAAATCGAAAGAAACCCCAAAATATTTCTTCTCCCATGCCAAATCAAAGTCGGGGGAAAAAACGTCCCGTATTGGGCCCCACTTAAACAAGATGGATCCTACACAGATGACAGCAAGGAAATGAGTGAGCTACTCAAGTCCCATTATGACTCAGTTTCTAGCAAGCCGCTAACCAGATGAGGTCGAAGATCAAAATGAATTTTTTATGAGAGAGGCACAAAATTTGATTAACACAAGCCTATCCGATGTTATCCTGACGCCAAATGACTTCAAACAGGCGATAAATGACATGCCCATGCACTCTGCCCCAGGGCCAGACTCATGGAACTCCGTGTTCATCAAGAACTGCAAGAAGCCCCTATCACGAGCCTTTTCCATCCTATGGAGAGGGAGCATGGACACGGGGGTCGTCCCACAGTTACTAAAAACAACAGACATAGCCCCACTCCACAAAGGGGGCAGTAAAGCCACAGCAAAGAACTACAGACCGATAGCACTAACATCCCATATCATAAAAATC